ACCATGGAGTGTGTTCTCCTCGCGCGCTTTGGCCGATAAATACAACAACTGAGTTTCATTTATGCGGATTGATTTTTGCATTTCAACTTTTGATGATGATGTTGAGGCTGGTGATGATGTTGATGTTGATGATGATGTTGAAGCTGAGGATGATGTTGAAGCCGATGATGATGTTGAAGCTGATGATGATGTTGAAGCCGATGATGATGTTGAAGCTGATGATGATGTTGATGGCGATGTTGTTGTTGTTGATGATGTTGATGACGTTTGTTTGTTGAAGGGGATGGTTTTAATAAAGATAGTGCTATTGTTGCAGATGTTGATGTTGTTGTTTGTGGCGACGATGTGATGATGACGACGATGATGAGAACGAAGATGATGAGAATGATGGTGATGATGATGATGACGATGATAATGATGACGATGATGATGGTGGTAATGGTAATGATGATGCAGATGCTTATCTCCAATGACGTTGACGACTCGGGCTAATGATTGATGCTTGCTGCTACTTAGAATGAGACGATGATGATGTTGTTATTGTTGATGTTGTTGTTAATGTTGTTGATGATGTTGATGTTGATGTTGTTGTTGTTGATGTTGTTGACGAAGATGTTGTTGATGACGATGTTGTTGTTGAGGATGTTATTGATTCTGTTGTTGTTGATGATGTTGTAGTTGTTGATGATGTTGTTGTTGTTGATGATGTTGTTGTTGTTGATGGCGATGACAATGATGATGATATAGATTTTTGTGTTGTTTTTTCTGATGTCGTTGTTAATGTTTCCGGTGCAACTGTAGATGTAACAGTAGTAGCAGTATTTGTTGTTTTAGTTGTTGTTGTAACAGTAGTAGTTGTAGTAGTAATTTTGTTGTTGATTTTGTTGATATTGTACGCAGATGTTTATATTTTTATTTTTTCAAAACATTCAAATATCAAGAAGAAATTTGTACTGCGACTTGCGTCAACAACAACAACAATAACAACAAAAGTAATAATAACAATGACAGCAACAGCAACAAAATTAATAACAACAACCACAGCAACAAAAGTAACAACAACAACAACAAAATCTAGCACTGAAATAACACGAATCACGTCATTTGATAATCAATTGCATTGTCGGTTCGTCAGTATTTTTGGTTCTCTTTTTATTTGATGTTGTTGTTGTTGTTGTTGTCTTTGTTATAGTTGCTGCTGCTGTTGCTGTCTTTGGTGTTTTTTTTTTTACTGGAAACAGATTTTTATTATCGTTCATTTGTTTGTCTGATTATTTACGATTTAAAATCAATGATATATTGACTGGTCCTGTGCTTCTAAATGAATGAATGAACGGATGGATGGATGGATGGATAGATGGATGGATGGATGGATGGATGGATGGATGGATGGACGGATGGATGGATGGATGGTTGTACAAATGAATGACACACTGAATAAATAGGATAATGAATGACTGAATGAATGAATGAAAAAATGGATGGATTGTAGAAAAAACTAAATGAATGAATGAATGAACGAATGAATTGACGGTCTGACGAGCGAATAATATAAAATAACCAACTGTCTTATCCTTCAATACATTCACTTCGAAAAATTTCAACCCCAAATCGAAGAAAAAATTACACGACAACCATATTTTTGAGACGAGATCATTCGAACGATAACGAAACGAAACTAGCCACATATTACTGACGTAGTTATGACGTCAACAAAAAATTTCTCCGGCTTTTTTCAAACACAGGTCACGAAAATTGACTTTTGAAAAGAGTATTTTATAAATAAAAATAATTTTTCGTCATCATTAGCAAGCAGGCATAGGAAAAGAAGAACAAGTTTGTCATTTAACCCGTACTAACATTTTTGGAGCGTCTTTATAGATCATAACGTGTTCATACTTATAAAATTATTAATAAACATCTTAAGTATCTACGAAGTTATATTTATATTTAAATATTTTTTCATTAATTATAACCTAATATAGTTTATATTTTATTTAAGAGTAATATTTTATACATTGGTTCGTTTTCAAAGTTCCTGTAAAGTTCCGGTTTATTAGAAATACTACCATATAGTAATAAATTCACTAAATTCAATTCAATAACTTTATTAAATTCAATTCTTCAACAGGGTATGTTATTGTAAGGTATCATATAACAGTCAGCATACTGTATAAAGTCTAATTAATGGTTAATATTATTTTTATAATTAATTAATTAATTATTTTATTCATATATTTTATCGTTTTTATTCATTCATTCATTCAACTAAACCAAAACTAAGTGAAATAAAGATGAATGGATGGATGAACGGATGACTGACTGACTGACGGAATGGAATGAAATGAATGAATGAATAAATGAATGAATAAATGAATGAATAAATGAATGAATAAATGAATGAATGCTTGCTAGTATAACGGTCTAAAACTACAATCTTCAGGTCTATAATGTATGTGTATGTAATATTCATGCATATATATATAAATTATATATATATATATATATATATATATATATATATATATATATATATATATATATATGTGTGTGTATGTGTGTGTGTGTGTGTAATATTTATATATAATGTATATCATACATATATGGTATTATAAAATGTGTTTAGACTATGCATAAATAAATAAATAAATATATATATATATATATATAAAATATATATGAAAATTATTGGATCTATGTATATTTGCTAAATATTTTTAGTATTTTTATCAAAATTTTTATTTTGCCATTTTTATTATTAATATTATTCTAATTGACAATATTGTAGTTGTTGATTTTATTATTACTATTATTGTTGTTATTATTATTATTATTTATCGCACATTTGCATGTATATCCCTACGAAAGTGTATTTATCGTCGGCTCGAGCCGGCATATCTAACTAGGGAACAATTTCATTTTTAAGAAGGGGTGGACAACATTTAAAAAAATGGACTCGTCCAGAATGTGGTTATTCTCAGTTATTCTTCTATGCATGTACACATACACACACACACACACACACACACGCACGCACACACACACACACGCACACATCACATATACACGTATATACATTTTTAGTTCTCATTCTTATTTTTAAACTTTCATTCCTGCCACAAAGGATTTACACCACACGACGTACAAACACCACACACCACACGACGTGCACACGCCACATGGAGAGGAAAAGTCTTTCGGTTTCAGACTGAATTCAAACCAGGCTATCGCGTAACAGCGCTTAAAACAGCACTCCTACCGTCTGAGCTAGCTCACTGTATGTGTGTGTGTGTATGTATGTGTATCTGTGTGTTAATACGCTTGTTTAAGTATGTGTGTACGTACATGCGCATATATTTGCCGGCGTGGATTAGTATGTATTTCATCCAGTTGTTTAACATTGCACGAAAATTGATTTTTTTTCTGTTTTTGTGTTCTGGCTATTCTGAATAATAAAGAAATTTATTCGAAGTTTTTTTTATGTATTTTTATATTTTATTGAGATTATTTTTTAAAATAAAAGCGAAATAATAATAAATTTTTGTTTGTTTGATTCAATAAAATTTTACTCGCTTCCCCTCTTGTTTTGTTGCATCGAATGATGACATTATTTGTGATGCTCATGCCATTTCTCTTTGGTTCAGTTGTTTTATTTCACTTCTCGATTTTAATTTTTGTGAAGGATTATGTGTGTGTATGTTTGCATTTTTATATGAGTGTGTATTATTCGTGTGTGTGTTTGTGTGAATATGTGATATTTGATTGAAAGGTTCTCATTTTCATACAAATTTGTATGCATGACTGCATATAAGAACTCGTGTTTTTAAGATTTATCTACGTATATATTTTTTATATCTCTGTACATTTGTGGTTGTGCTTGGAGATGTGCGTGCGTGTGTAAGCATGTGTGAGTGTGTGTGTTTGTATATAGACATGTATGTATGTTTGGAAGTATGTATATATACGTGTGTGTATGTATATATGCTATCTTTTGTTTAACATACCTTTGGAGAAAATATTATTCAGCCTTAAGGTTTTAAAATTTTCATCTATTTTTTAATTTTTGTCTCTAAAGGGTTTTCAAACTTATAAAACAAATAGTCAGTCTTCATTAAAATAAAAATTACACCACAAACAGAACAAGTAGTGAAGAAAGACAGATAAAGAAAAAAAATGTTTCGCTTTATTTTAAAGATATTGAATAATGAAGTCGGAAGGTGATTGATTAATGTGAATTTTAGTAACGATTTGTCTAATGTGTGTATGCTTACGTGTGTGTGTGTTTGTGTGAGCATGTGTGTGTGTGTGTGTAGTAGTAGTAGTAGTAGTAAAAGTAGTAGTAGTGGTAGTAGTAGTAGTAGTAGTAGTAGTAGTAGTAGTAGTAGTAGTAGAAGCCACATTTAATGTTACAATTGAGCGATGGATGGAATGCATTTAAAGGGAAAACAATTTTTCTACATTAATACCGATGACGATGGCGAAGAAGATGGTGATGGTGGTGGTGCTGATGACGATTAGAATAATAATAATAATAATTATAATGATGATAATAATAATAATGATGGTGGTTGTCACCGGCCACATCATCATCGTCGTCTTCATCATCATCATCATCATTAATGCAATAAAGCGACTGAAAAATTTATATTAATGGTAAAACAGACGGGTGACAATGGAAATTTAAAATATTAAATTTCTTCTGCAAGAACTGTGACGACGACTACGACGATGTAAACAATGACGATGATGATAATAGTGCTAATGATGATATTGATAATAAAGAAGAAGATGATATTAACAATATCAAGAAAGACTTATAAGACAGAGGGCAGTTGGATTGTTCTTCTCTAACGTAGTAGACCCCGTTATGACGTCATCGTCATTACGTCACCAATATATCTATCTATCAGATCTCTATGTTCAAACGCAATCAACATGTACCTCAATAACGAAGTTAGTTGTTGTTGTCGCGTTGTTGTTAATGTAATGGCTTGTTGTTTTAGTCAAGGTTTTGTTGTTGTCATATTTCATCCGGAGGTTTCACATGACATTTGTTTTTATGTCATTTTACATATGAAGCAGTATGTATGTATGTGTGTGTATGTATGCATGTATGTATGTATGTATGTGTGTGTATGTATGTATGTATGTATGTATGTATGTATGTATGTATGTATGTATGTATGTATGTATGTGTGTGTATGTATGCATGTATGTATGTATGTATGTATGTATTAAAAATACTGCAACTACCACTACAAATACTACTACTACAAACGTTATAAATACTACCACTTCTACTGCCTCCGCAGTAACAACAACAACAGCATCTATAAAAACAGCATCATCAACAACAACAACAAATACAATTACGATTGTATTGTAGTGAGTGCATACGGAATGAAATCACATATAAATAGTGGATGAGTTGAGCAGAGCTATCGCACTAACAAAACAAGACTTCAAATATAAGAAAAAGCTGACAGTGTTTTGTCCATTTTTTTTCTGCCTGATGTTTGGTTGCTTCAGTCGAAAAAATCATTTTGTTGTTGTTGTTACTGGGATTTCGTTGCTCGTGCAAAGACGTTTTTGTTCTGCTGACAATATTCAATAATAATGTAGATGCGGTGTTGTTGGAAAACTAAAAATGTTTTATTATCATGGAATTACAAACACATTTTGTGAAATTATCATTGATAGCACGCTACACAAATTTGAGCAACGTTGTCATATATATATATATATATATGTTATATATATATATATGTTATATATATATGTTATATAAATAAATATATATATATATAGTAAACAGTTCCTAGTACAACAATTGTACTATTTTGTCTACAACAATGTACTCTATAGTGGTACATCTTTTTACATTTTCGCAGTACAAAACTATTGAAAACCATTTCGTAGAAGTACGCAGCAAAACCGGAAAGAACGACGACGTGTGGCTAATTTTTCCAGTAGAATTTCCATCATCAGCTTTCTGACGGAAATTTGCATCGGGGTCCATGCATTTTTCATAAATCTCAATTCCCTCTCCACCGCTGGATAGATGGACGCTGGCGTGTAAAAGGGCACCCCCCACCTTAAAACAAATTTCACACCCCCATCATGCAATTTAATGACTTTTCGCCTTTTATCATTTCAACAGTGCAGAGCACACAAAACAAAAACAAACACCGGCTCGCCGACATTTTTCCAAACTTTAAAATGTTGATTTTTTTCAGACGTTTTTTCAAACAAACTCGCGGAGCATAAATTCTTTTTCAAAACAATTTTTCAAATTTGTCCATTTTTCGGCAGCATACATATTTTAATGCATGCGCTATAAAATTTTCAAAAGTTTCTTTGAATTTATTTTTTAATAGTTTTTTTCCACAGAAAAGTAATTTATTAACTTTTTTCATATTTTCATTTTAAAAAGGCAGAAATTTTCTACAGTGCTTTGAGGCGCAAATGCAACTTCTCACTGACTGTTTCAAATCATCATTACCATCCTTATCACCGTCAATATCATTATTGTTGACGTCATTGCCGCCATCATCATTGTTATTACGCATAGCGGCGCAACCAACTGTACACTCATTGTTATAGGTATCATTATTAACATTATGATTACAATTATTATTATTATTATTATTAGCATCGTTGTCGTCGTCGTCATCATCTTCATCACAGCAGCAAACGCGAGACAAACTGACGTCATCGTCGTTAATTTTCAACGCAGCAGCAGTTTTCACACTTGTGTCATCATCACCTGTTCCTCCGCGCATGAAACCGCACTTAATGTTCCCACTTTCGTCACCTAAATTAGGGGAAAATAAAACATAAAAAAATTTCCTCTAACCGTTAGCATAACTTTTGATGAAATAAATAGTTAAAAATAAACTAACATATTTCTTGAGGAGATCCCGAATAATCGTACGCAAGCTCCTCCCCTCCATGAATATTCATTAGGGCAAAGAGACCCATGCGCGGTAGCATGGTATCTATCCTTACCGGCACCATGAAGAGATTCGGTTGGCAGGAATGGTTGATCAGTCTACTAACGTTGCCCCTCTGAGTTGCGTCTATTGTTGTTCTCAATGTTTTTGGTGAGTTTGCTGAAGGTGTAGATTGAGTGTCACCCAATTGATTAGAAATAACTAGTTTTGATTCCATTGATGGAGTTGGATGAGTGGCTGAGGGGTTTGTGTGATTTTGAAAATGTTCTGTCACAGAAAGGACGTAATTTTTTTCTAAAAAACTTCGGTTAGTTGGAGTTGAAAAGTTTGAACCGTCATCGTCACACCAGCACATTTGAACATCACCTGTGTACTCGCATACAAATGAATTTTTCGTGATGAATTCGCCTGCTTTCACACCCAGGCCCTTTGCAGTTTTTGTATCAAAGACGATCAAACGTTTGGTCACACCTCTCTGAATGACCCTGTTCGAACAAGTCCTTTCATCGCACGCACAGTTCGCATTGCACTCACGCAGAAATCGAAGTTGCGAGCTAAATGGGTCGACGTCATTCAGCAGTCCGTTCATGGAATAGAGAATATTTTCAGGCTTCATAATGCAAGAGCAGTTTGTTGCATTTGTGGAGCAATCTTCAGAACATGAACAGCCAGCGAACTGTTCTGTTATTTCTTCTCCGTCGTCTGAGGTGACATTTTCATTTATGTACTGTTCAAAAATCAAATAATAAATTAATATAAAAGAGAGTATGAACTATGTAAGTCAATAGACGTAAGTTTAAAACGACAGTTGAAGGAAGTTAAAACAATATAACCTCAAATTTTAACGAATTGTGATCGATTGGTACATCTTCGATGAACGCCGGCGTCGGTTCTAAACCGTTGCCGATTAGCTTATTTGCCATATTTGGAATCAATATTAAATGGAAGAGCGGAAACAATGTATGTAAACAAAGTTTAGTATCCTTTTATCGCTCGGTACCAAAATTTAAAATCGTCAACTATGAAATGGAAAATTTGTACGAAATTTTGCAAGTTGATCCAAAGGCAAGTCAGCAAGAAATTAAACGTTCCTTCCAAAAGTTGGCTTTAAAATTTCATCCGGACAAACTACCGACACGCGGAGATACCAACATGGCGGAAACTCGTGATCGCGACGGTTGCCAACTGTTTCAAAGGATATCTACGGCTTGGAGTGTTTTAGGAGATCCCGATCAAAGAAAACAATACGACGCTCTTTGGCACCATCGGTGCGTACTTTTCGAATCATGCGGACCCATCCACGATAGAGTGCCGTTTAATGGTTTCAAGAAATGTACCGAAACGAACGAATACTTGTATGAATGTCGGTGTAGCGATTATCTCGTCTTAACAGAACAAGATGTTTGCTTGAAATTGGACGTTGTTAATTGCAGCACTTGCTCACTAAACGTCATAGTTGATTACAATTGATTTGAACTTTTAGTAGTTTAATTATTTTATTAAAAAAGTTGCTAACAAACACAAGCTTTTTGTTTCATTCATTCATTTATTTTTATCATTTAAATTGTTGTATTATGTATATATTTCATTTTTTGCATCATAAACATGAAAATAAAATAAACTATACCAAAAAGCATAAAATAAACTATCAATGTGACATTAAAATGTCCATTCAACAAATTATGATTAATACTCGATGTAAAGTCGATCAGTTGTGATGATGACGACAGAAGAATGCATTCATGTTCAACTGATATACAACTTTTTAACTCTCTGCCTGTCGAACTTGTAACACGAATGACTAAAAAAAAGTAGAAAACAAAATTTTAAAGAAATTACTAAAAAATAATTCATAATTAAATTAAAATATCTATGCTTATATTAATTTGCCACATAAAAAACACAAACTTTTAGATAATTTTGGAATATTTTATCGTTTGATTGTGCTAAATTCTGACAGAATTCCTGAAAATTCGAAAAACTTACATTAAACTAAGAACATAACACTGATAATTATTATTATAATAACATCAATATAAATGTAGTACCTGTATGACTTGATTGTTGAAGTTGAGTGAAGGCAGGTAGGTGAATGTAACATAGTTAATAAGCTCTGGTCCCTTTTTAGTATAATTGATTATTGATTAATTCAATTAATTTATTTGGAAAATAGTTATTTATTTTTGTAACGTAAGAGCTAACAGTTTACTGAAACATCACTTTATTTAGTTATATTGTGGCCATTGTGAAAAACTGTGTGCATGTGTGTTTGTTTATGTGTGTGCGTGTGAGTGAGTGAGCGTATATTTGTTAGTATGTACGTGTGTGGTGTATGGTGTGTGTAAACCAAAGCTAACTAACAATCGTTCTATGCGCTTTTCCAAGACAACCAGCTATCTCATTCAAGACCTTGATAAAATAAAATTTGAAAGAACATTCTATAACTTGTAATGCGATAGATTATTTCTCATCGTAATTAAATTTGATGTTAAATAGTTTATTTTCATGTAAAATACTACTTAAATACTAAAACATTGTTACCAATATCGTCTGTGCATCTACAACATCAAACTCATTCGACAAAGGCACTTGGAAGCAGCACGGTACAATCTCCTTATATACGAACTCTCTCAGGTTCGGTACAATATTTGTTCCACCTTGTAGGTATGAAGAATTACTTCACTTTTAAACTAAGCTAAAAAAAAACATTACTTTACCACAGAAAACAAAGTAACGGATGACAGTACAAAAAATTTTAAATAAGGACGAACCAAGATGAGTTAGAGAGTCTGTAGTTGGCTAAACTTTTGAACAACACAGAAACAACAAATTATCGCACGACAAAACTTCAAAACAGCACACAACAACATGATATAAAATTAAAAACAAACAGGCAAAAATATTCCCACCCCATACTTCAATCATTCTTTTAAGGATTGCCAAACATTAAAAACAAACTGGTAGAAATATTCCCACCCCATATTTCAATCATTCTTTTAAGGATTGCAAAACACGTTTTTTGGGCGGTGGGATCCGAGCAGTTAGCGGCCCCTTGGATTATCGTCGTCAAGATTATGTTCAGGTCGTTCGGTTCTGTTAAGGGCGAGTAATTATTTTCAAAGATTATAAAATGAACAAAAACTAGGAATAAATTTAGTGAAAGCATCTCGAAAAAAGGATCAAAACAAGCATGATAACATCAAATGAAAACTCGAAAAAAAAATAATTTTTATATACTAATTATTTCAATAGTAACATTTTTAAAATAAATATCAATATACGACTGACCTTGGTTACTCAATATCTCAGCAGTATCATTGTTAATGATGACGTTGATGTATCCATAGTATCCTCTCTGCAGCATCTTCTTCTCCATCTGGATAACCTGGTCCTCTTCATCAACGGCCGCGGATGTCAGGGACTTTTGGATCAACGAGATGATTGGGATGAAGACCTTCTGCATGTATGGTACTATGGTTTTCTGTAGATGAACATTAAAGAATTATACTAACCATTAATCTAATAATATAATAATAATTGGCCAGTGAAAGATGCAGTCTTCGTCCTCTGAAATGAGTTCATTTGTGGAAAGAACAAAAAATATTTGATCTAGGTGCATTAGTGGAAAATTTGTCATGAAGGAGAAAAGCTAGTAAAAACCACCTTGAACTTTTGAATGAGTTGGTTGAGAAACGGGATGAATTCATGAAGTTGTTTGATAGAAGCATTCAACATCAATCCCTCAACTGATGTTGGGATGAATTGAAGGATGTCAGTGTCCATGCATATGACCATTCGATGAAGAAACTGTCTGAAACCCTATGTATGTGTAAGCGTATGTACGTGTGTGTGTGTGTGTGTGTGTGTGTGTGTGTCTGTGTGTGTGTCTGTGTGTGTAAGTGTATATACATGTGTGTGTTTGCATGTGTAAGTGTATGTACATGTAGGTGTACGTATACGAGCAAGCGTGTATATATTGGAAAATAGAAATTTCCACTTCGAACGTTCCAATGTTACCTGATGTAGAAGGTGTGTCTGTATTGGGACCTGCAAAACTTTGATGAAAACTTGCATGGCGCCCGTGTATGTTGATATGCAACCATTCCCGTGAACAGTCTGCTGACCGGAAAATCCTTTACTAGTCCGACTGGTGTTGTTTAAAAGTTAATTTAGACAAACAACTGCAAGAATGGAGAATGTAAAGTGGATGTAGGTATACGAAGGAACCTGATAAATGACATGGCTCTGTTGAGTAGTTGAGCGTAGAAAACCTGCAGACTTTCATCTCTCTCAGAGGTCATTTGCGCTAACAACTCTTCGAACTGCAACAAGATGGGGACCACCAATCTGTTCAACAACTCTCGCTTCCTCTGGTTCATAACGGTAATATAAATATTTATACAGGAGTAAACAATACAGGAGTAAACAATAGTTTGAGAGCCTAAACTTTAATAATAACTGCATATTTAATTAATTTTTTAGTAAATAAATGTAAGCAAGTTGGAGATGAGAGATAGAAAAATAACCTCAGGTGCGAAGCTGCTCTGAACAATGAGAACACTCGCAGTCTCAAACATGAATTGTTGGTCATCAGTTGACAGTTGCAAGTTGGAATTATCCACAGCAGCGGCGTTGGAGGTACCAACACCACCGCCATTGTTCATTTTCACAGCAGCACTGTTACACATGTTGTTCGCGTCAAAGTTATGCTTCATCATACCGCCGTGGTGAAACGTTGAAGTCGATGAAGTCGGATGAGGATGGTGGTTATGAGATGAGTTATGATGATGATGTGATGTCTTGTGTTGTGATGATGATGATGAGAGATGAGGAGGAGGAAGAGGAGGAAGGGAGGTGTTTAGCACGAGAAGGCTTTCCAGTCTGGTGAGAATCATTTCCAGGCTGTCTTGAAGATGAGCTCTGTGTAAGAGTAGATCAATTAAAAAAATTACCAACTCGACAATCCGATGAACAAATATCCACTCATCATAACTAATCATATTTCACCATAGACCAATCAACATTTTAACCACAGCTATCAACATTTCAACCGCAGCTATCAACCTAACGTAACTACGAACCAACACAGTTCAACACGCAACAGATAAATAACATCACCAACAGTCTATGTGCATCTAACATACTTGTTAATTGATTTGACAAATCTTGAAAACAGGTAGGCAGTTCTACTTCTAATGTGACAGTGGGCACTCCATATGCCTCTTTCATCCAAGAAAGCTTCCTAAAATTTTACCTTCTAAATTTAAAAACTAAACTCTCCTAAAATTTAGAAACAAACAACCAAACACTAACCAAAACCCTATGTATGTATTGGGGAAATGCCGAGAAGAACCTATCATATCGAGCTATAGTTTCAAAGAACTGTGATTGGACAGCCGGATGTGGGTAGTGACTGACTTGAGATATTATTAACTGGACGGGAAAACCCCACAAAATTTCATATTTAACATCAGAAAAGTTTTTGAAAATATTATTACAAACTATTATAAATACAAAAGCAACTGACCGTTTTGATCATCTCATACAAAATATTTATTCTTTGCTCCGGTACTTTGCTCGTTCTGCCGCCTGTGTTTGATGTCTATGCAGTAATTATAAATATGATTATTTAAATCAATGGGGCACTGAGAATAATAATGATAATGTTATTGCTGATCAATCGGTTATAGTAAAAAAGCACAAAAGAAAATATGTCAAAATACAGAAAAACAAACAAAAAAATGGAAAAAAACGAACAGGCATAACTTCAACAAGAAGGAATAGGGAATAAATGGCGACTTCAACATCCTCAAATGAGGTTGTCTGCTGCAAACTGCTCATCACAACGTTGAAGTTGCTGGCTACATATTTCAGTAGCACATCACAATCCTTTGGGGGAAAACTTTCGTAAATTACTGAACTATTACATAGTAAGTAGTTAAATATAGTTAACTGATAATTGAAAAAGATAACTAGTAGTTCATTTCAATTTTGAGTTTGAATATAAAATTTAACTGAAATAACTTTGTGTGTCTATGAACCTTGGAAGAAATTAAAGAATTTTTATAATAAAATAAAGGTAATAACGCAAACCAAGGAACTCAAATTGACAAAAACAATCTTCAGCTCTTTCCGATATTCCTGAAAATCACATTCCTCTTCACCCTGCCAGTGTGAAGATGGTAGAGAAGATAAATTTATAAAAAAAAAATTGATAAAATTATCAAATATGGTAAAAACAACATTTATAATATAATAATAGAAGCAATAAAAAACATAATTAATAATAGAAAAAAATTGTAAGAATGAGTAACCTCGTGATTGAAGTTGTATCCCTTCATGTACCTCATCTTCTTCAACAAGACACAAAGGACTTGCTCCACGAATGAACTCACCTCAGAGGACGAAGGCAGCATCTTTAACAAGCCGATGTAGTCTGTTAAGAAGTTGATGGTCGTTCTAGAAACGTCGTCGTCATCGTTGCCAAACAGTTTTAAGAGTAGGCCAAGTTTTGGCTGCAAGGCATCCAGTGCAATCTTTGCATTTTCAAGGTCTTTGTTTTTCACAAATCTGAATTTATGTTAAATTAACAGTGAATGTACCACAACTGCAGACAACTACAAACAACTTTTAAAAAAATTTGATCAGCAATTTTATTGTAAACTTTAATGCCACTAAATGTAATGTAAATCAAATAACCATCAAAATACACCCAACTTTAAACTAACTTCTGCCAGCACAAGACAAGCTGCTGTCCAAAATTTGCCATGAGATGTGCAAACTTTTCAAGATATTCATCATCATCATCCTCTTCTTCTTCGTCATCGCCATCATCGTCTTCACTTTTAACCAGTGCCTTCTTTGTGTTTTCGTTTTTCTGAACACAGAAATAATTTCAATCACAATAAATAGCGGCAAGAAATAATAATAGTAATGAATAATGCAAAAATCAAAAAATAATCAAAGATACTAACATCAAGAAGATCAACAACGTCTCGAATAACTCCAGACGTTTCCAGGATGACCACCATCGACTCAACCAACTTCAATTTCATGACGGAATCCATTCCTTTGGAGATGACCTCACTGAGGCAGCTACAGGCAGCTCCCCGAACAATAGGAGGTACAACCAACTGACTGGACCCAACGACTTTGTTGCAGCCCATCAGTCGAAGGATGATTTCAATGAATCGGTCGTTGGCAATTAGGTTGATGTCTATCCAGGATACAAAGGACCCGATTGTTTGGAGACAGGAAGCCAGGATGGTGCTGGATATCGACGGAGACGTTGATAGCAGGCTCTCATACAAAACCTTTTAAAAAAATTTCATAAATTTTTTACAAATCTCTATCTAATAATATTATTACATAATCAATCAGTGAAATTTTTATGAAAGAAATATTATTATTATAAAAACGAACTCGAGTAGATAAATATTTTTAATGACAATCCCAGTTAACATGATAAAAATAGGATAAAAATTTAAAGTTTTAGAACATCTAATTTAAAATAATATAAATGGGGAAAAAAAAGAAATAGCAACTAGAAATAATCAAGAAGGAAAAATTGAATAGAGGTGTACTGACGAGTATGTCAAACCAAGATGAGACCAGATCTGTGACACACTGTTCTCTCATACAGTCTTTAAAGAGGCCATTCCTTCTCAACTCCTGTTCATTCAAGAGTCATTTGGTTGAAAATTGAAATCTCAATGAAAAAAATGAAATACAACAACAAATCAAAAACAAAACAAATCAAAAACGAATCAAAAACAGTAAAAATATTAGAAAAAGAGAACTTGCAACGGACCATATCTGTGTGTGGAATATCTCGATCGACCACTTCCTCGTGCAGCATCAATAAAATCCTCAAATACATATTCACGACCTGATGACTAATCCTAGAGATGTTGTTCAAGTTCAAGGCCGCTAGAAGATCGTGAAAAAATGTCGGCCATACTGCCGGGTAGTCCACTAAACTGGTCAGTAGGAAGAGTTGAGAGAATTTGTTGTTGATAAAGTAACGATTTTCAGGGTTGGGCTCCTATAAATATTTTACAATTATTTTGGATAACTTTTAAAAGAATTTCTTAATAGATTAATTTGCAAATAGAATTTTCAACCAAACTAAACCTCTTTTTATGAAAAAAACATTCAATTATTTTGAAAAACTAAAAAAATTTACACTTATTGTATAAACTTTACTGTAACATTGATATATAAAAATAACAAAAAATTAATCAAAAGATCAATTATTTAATTAATTAATTAAACAAAAAAGATACATACTAGATTGAATAGCCATCTTAGGAGGAATGATTTGATGCATTCATGCTCCTCAAAAGGCGCTAAAAAGTACCTAAGACCAAAAAAACATTTTTCACCAATTAAGTTGAATAAAACTTTTAAAATAGTTAGAAACATTATATCCATAAATAAAATATAACCATTATGAATATGTACCAACATAATCACATAAATAAGTTTAAGTTTTATAACAATTAGATAAAAATTTACATTATATAATAATGTATAGTATATGTATTAAAATAAAATAAACAGTAACAGTAATTATTAAAATAATAATTAACAAATAATATCTACCTTGTTTTCAGATAATGCTCTACAACTTGAAGCATAAGGAAATAGACTCTATTATTGCTAAAGTAGTAGTAATGTTAACAATTCAATTTAACTTATTAAATTATAAATAATAATTAATTAATATAGCAACCTGGTTTAATATTTCTAATAATATTACAAAAAATGAATTATGAATTAATAATAAATATATAATATAAATATAATATAATTATGATAGATACCTTGTAAATGAGCCATCTGCCAAAGCATTGATACACACGTACCAACCATCATTTGTTTGTTTTAGGGCTTCAAAACACTGCAAATACTGTAGCAAGCAAATAAAAATTGCAATATAAGATATTATAATCATATAATTATATTATATTTATACCAAATATATGTCAGAGAGCAATATATAATAAATGTGCACACTTGAAATTTAAATAAATATACAGTATGTGGCTTAGGCGCAGTTTTTTTTTAGAATTATTCCATGTTTAATTGTGACAATATTATAATATTAAGACATATATAAGTTCATAATAATATATAATATAATTATTATTAAAATATAAGTAATTATTCAAGAAAATCTAACAATAGAAAAGAAATTATAAAGAAATCAAAATATAAAACTTACTTCATTGTTGTCATTTTCACCTAGCAAGCTAAGCTGCCTCAATATTTCGCCAGCGGCCATTTCAGATAAAATTTTTTTGAATAATTATTAACTAACTTATTAAAATAAAGCTTAACAAAATAAAACAAGTGTTAAAAAATCTAAATAAAATTTGATATGCTAGCAGTAACAAGGTAAGTTGAGTTTTTTTTAAAAACAAAAGTAATTAAATTAAATAACAGGCCAGGCCAATTCAATTAGTATGTAATCTTCCAGTTAATCTATTAATTAATTGATGTGTGATGTTGTTGAAATTGTGATGTGTGATTAGAATACTCATTTATTATTACAGTATGCTGTTTGCTGTTTATGTATATATATGTATGTATATGTATGCTGTTTTGTTTATAATTGTCTACTAATTTACTGAATTTAGACTTTAGTAAGTAATTAAGTTAGAGTAGGCGGAGCGTGTCTAATCTCTCAGTCACAGATCAGACAGAACAGAATCCACTTCATCACAAGCCCGTCAGCACATGTAAAATTCACATCAACGAAAAACGTAAAATGTACAAAATTTTAGAAGTTAAATAATCAAAACAAATAAACTAATTAAGAAACCGTGTAACTAAAAACAGTAATTGGCAATTTTTTGCATTTTAAACAAAGTGCATACGTAACGATAATACAGTGATGAAAATGTTGTATGATAGCAAAGGCAAAATAAATATTTTATGCAATACTACAGTACATTTAAAAAGTTTTAATTAATTGTTTAATTTTTAAATTTAATACATTGTTTATTAATTAATAAATTATGTTTTAAAAAATAAATTTTTTTATAATTTTTTAAGCAGTTGCTTTCGGTGTTTATGGTGTTATTTTAAAATGGCCGCACATTTCGTTCGTTCTTGTTAAGATTTTGTTGTGTTTACCTTGCTCATTCATTATATCTACTTATTTAAATTTTAAATTTAGAAAATGGCATCAAATAACAGTTTGCCGCCGAAAGAAAATGCTCTTTTCAAACGAATTTTGGTTAGTTATTTGCGATTAGACTGACATGTGATCGCATGTCTTTTTTCATTTTTTCCTAATCATGATAAAAATAAAAATCATTTTGTCGTATTAAACTGTTTTTATTAATTTCAGAAATGTTACGAGCAAAAACAGTACAAAAATGGCTTGAAATTTGCCAAACAGATCTTGTCAAATCCAAAGTTTTCAGAGCATGGAGGTGGGCTCTTTTAATTTAAAATCTAATTTTGATCTAGAAATAAGTTCATTCTCACTCATTCATCCATTCACTAATTTTGGCGACGAATTTTAAATCATTTCATTTTTGCGGCCGTGGTTTTACTTATGATCTTATTTTTTCATCAAGAAACTCTGGCAATGAAAGGATTAACATTAAGTTGCCTTGGTAAGAAGGATGAAGCTTATGAATTTGTAAGAAGAGGTCTCAGAAACAGTCTTAAGTCTCATGTCTGTATCTTTTTTATTTCTGCTTGAAGGATCATTCTGTCAATCAGAATGGTTGGTCAGGATAAATGTGGCTATAGACTAGTTCAAACTTTGACAGGATCTTACATTTTAGTTTCAATCAAGATTTTTCTTAACCATTAGCAACCCAAAACACAGGTTGGCATGCTTATGGCTTGCTGCAAAGAGCTGATAGAAAATATGATGAGGCAATTAAATGTTATAGAAATGCTCTGAAATGGGATAAAGTAATTTATTTTGATTTAGTAATCCATGCTGTTTAAAAGTTTAATCACCTTTATGATTTACACTTTCACATTTTTTTAAAATTAATCATCACCTAGGACAACCTCCAAATATTAAGAGATTTGTCCTTACTCCAGATACAAATGAGAGATTTAGAGGGATACAAAGAAACAAGGTCCATTTCTTTTAAATCGACACTTAATAATAATAATAATTCAGATTCACAATTGATAATTTAAAAAAATGTTATTTAAAAATCCAACATTGAAATTTTTTTTCCAGGTACCAGTTATTAGTGTTGAGACCGGGTCAGAAAGTTTCGTGGATTGGGTATGCAATGGCCTTCCATCTCCTCAAAGATTACGACATGGCTCTTGAAATTCTTGAAGAGTTCAGGAAAACTCAAAATGTTAGTAGTAGATATGTGGACAGTTTAAATTAAATTGTAAGAATTTAACATTACTTGTATTTAAATGGCTGTTGATTTGTTTTTCAATTACACTGCCAGGCAAAACCATTCGATTATGAGCATAGCGAGATGCTGTTGTATCAAAATTCTGTGATGATCGAGGCAGGACAGTACAAACAAGCCCTTCAACATATATCTCAATATGCTTCACAAACTGTCGACAAACTCTGGGTCCAGGAAACTAAAGGTATTCTATTATTGCTTGCTTATTTCTGTTTATACAATTTATGCAAAGTATTTTAAAATATTTGCCCAGGTTTAATTTTACTATTTTTTTTGAGAAGCAGTATTAGTAAATGTACTTTTTCATTGAATTTGTTTTTGAAATATTCTCCAGCTGATCTCTTCTTGAAACTGGGAAATTATACAGAATCTGAACTGCTCTACAAGGATCTGTTGGAGAGAAATCCAGAAAATGTCGCCTACTACAAAGGATTGGAAGGGTCCAGACAGCCTGGTAGGAAGTAGATTTTTGAATTAGTGAATTAGAATTAGCTATTTAATGAAGGTTTTTCCATAATTTTTACAGCAACATTGGATGAACGTGTTCAGATATACAGGTCATCAGTTGAAAGGTTCCCAAAGGCACTTACCCCTAAGAAGATGTTGCTGGAACTTCTGCAAGGTGTCACATGTGCATTGGCAGATATTTTTATATTGAAATTAATTTTGGTTTTTCAAGAACTATTATATTAGTTCATTTACTCAAGCTTATTAATAAATTTCACAACCAGTTTTATGTATCATTCAATTGTATTATTCAATGCTTATCAACTTAATCAATTAAGGTTTTGCCAATTAATGATGATGAATTTATTAATATATGTAAGTGAAAAAATAATAATTTATAAGAAAATAAAAATGAATTAATTGACTGAAACAATAGGAGAGGATTTCAAATCAGAGGTAGACAAATTCCTAACAACCTGCCTAAGGAAAGGTGTCCCTCCACTCTTCAAGAATATGAGATTTATCTACACTAATCATGAGAAAGTTGGTTGAAATAGTCTGTCTAAATTGCTTATTATGTTATTCACTCTTTTGACACTCCTCAGAGGATTGTACTGTGCTTAAATGCTTTGTTGAACAAATAACTTTTGGTATTGGTTATTATTTTGTGTTGTTTTCTATAGTTTTTGTATGTAAGTTGATATTTATTTGTTGTTTGCTTAGGTGAAATGTATAGAATCCTTGATGGTTGGTTATGTCTGTTCGTTAAAAGAACACAAACTCTTCCATCCAGATGATCAAGAAGGTTAGTGGTCGGTTAGATAGTGTGTTTGTCTGATTAGTTTGTTGGCTGGTTGGTTGGTTGAACAGTTAATGGGTTAATTGATTAATTAATTGGTGGGTTGATGAGTTTGCTCCTATAATAACCTTAAGTAAACGTCAGTAATAATATTTTTGTAACAAAATCCAAATAACCCCCATTAGATATGGAATGTCCTACATCATTACTCTGGTGTTTTTACTATCTTGGTCAACACTATGACCATCTTAACCAACATGAGCTAGCGCTAAAATACATTGACGAGGCCCTCGAACATACAATGACCCTCATTGAGTTGTACCTTGTCAAAGCTAAGATATACAAAGTTTGTTCCATGCTGTTTATTTATTGTATGTAATTCTGTTTCATATTTATTCATTGTTGGAAGTTTGTTTTATTTCATTTGAGGTTATCAGTTTTTTTTTCACCAAAGTTTATTATATGTAAAATTACTTGGCATTATTCACTACATAAATTTTGCTGAATGATTGAAAATGGTATTATTTTTACAAATAAATTGAATAATCAATCAATTAATTATAATTTGAACAGCATGCTGGCGACATAATGAATGCAGTGAAGTGCTTGGATGAGGCACAGAGTCTGGACACAGCAGACAGGTACGTGAACTCAAAGTGCACCAAGTACATGTTGAGGGCAGGCCTCCTCAAGGAAGCTCAGGATATGTGCTCAAAGTTCACCAGGGAAGGCATCAGTGCCATGGAGAACCTGCACGAGATGCAGTGCATGTGGTTTGAGATTGAATGCGCTCTTTACTACAAGCACAAGTGTCAGTTTGGTGAAGCGCTGAAAAAGTGTCATGAGATTGACAGGGTTGGTTGGTTTGTTTGATAACTGTTCATTTGTTGGTTTTTTTTTAATTAACTCATTGTTTCATAGCTGTTAGATCTGGGTGTATGGATATTTGTTTTTCACAATAGAAACAAATAATAATTTCAATTGATTATCATACATGCAGCATTTTTCAGAAATAATTGAAGACCAGTTTGATTTCCACACTTACTGCATGCGCAAGATGACTTTGAGATCTTATGTTCAACTGCTACGCCTCGAAGATCAACTCAGATCACACAAGTTCTATTTCAAGGCAGCCTATATTGCTATTGAGGTTCCTTGTTCTTTCATCATTTTGTTTGTGCTTTAAAAACAGTTTAGTATAAAAACAGTTCAAGACATTGAAGTATTGCTCTTAACATCTTTCATGCATTTTCTTTATTTACCTACAGATCTACCTCCATCTGCATGATCATCCCCTTTCTGATGTGGATGCAAATGAGACAAACCACGTTGATAATTTGACGCCTGCTGAAAGAAAGAAGCTAAAAAACAAGCAGAGGAAGAAGGAGATGCAGGCAGCTAAGAAGGAGAAGCAGGAACAGCAACAGAAACAGCAGCAACTGCAGCAGCAACAAAATGCCAAGCTGAAAAATGATGAAATCGATGGACCCAAGGAAGAAGAATTGAAACCTGACAAACTTGCCAGAGTACAAATTAAATTTGTATTCGTTATTTACTAATTTTTATGCTATCAAATTATGAGTTTTTCTGTTTCAAAAATATTTTCCAGTTTTGCATTAATGGGCAGTTTTGTTTAGAGAAATTTTTCAAGTTATAATTCTAATTGATAATTGTTTTTGAAGCCAGAGAATGCTCTTGAGGAAGCCACAAAGTTTTTGAAGCCTCTGCAGATTTTCACACCAAACAACATACAGACACAGATATTGGCCTTCAGAGTTTATCAGAAAAAAGGTTTGGCATTTTTAGAAATTAGACCAATGTTCTGAATATTTTATTTATTATTTCAACTTTGAAGTATTTGTGTTAAAATTTAACTCTGCAGGTAAGTATTTGCTGATGTTGCAGGCAGTGAAAAGAGGATGGAAGATAAATAGAAACAATCCTCAAATACATGAATGTGTTATACAATTTCTTCACGCTGGTTAGATCTGTTTCTTGGTTGACAAAAATTCTTAGTACCATCACATTTTGTTAAAATTACTTCATTAAACTTTCCATACTCGTCAGTGTCCCAGGAAGCAAGCAGTCTACCGGAGCAGGTCAGACAGGTATTAAAAGTAGAAAGCGAAAAAACATTTGGAAAGTTATCAGCCAATGAGCTGAATGAAAATTTCATCAGAGCTAACAGCAACTCATTGTCTCACTTATTAGCTGGTTTGTCTAGTGTTTCATACACTTTGTCATTTTATTCTATTTTTCTATTGCGGCATTCTTATTCTTGTTCATAATAATTATTACAAATTGATATTTTATTATTTTGTGTGTTTTTCACCATCGTTTCATCAGGTTCAAAGATGAGATGCTTCTTGAACCCCGATAAGAAAGAAGACAGTTTGAATCACCTGCTGTCAAATCATGTGCCTGGAAATGAGAAATGTACTGTAGAGGTATGATTCCAAAACATCATTCATGTTAAACTTTGTTTTAACGCTTTTTCGTCACCTTGTTATTCTATGCCTCCATCTCCCCAGACCACGTTTACGCGTTTTTACATTTTCACAGGAATGCCAAGCAGTGTTTGCAAGCTTGAGTCTTGGAGATTTTGGCAACTGTGAAAATGAGACCAAGCAATACATGGAGAAATGTCACAAAGTATACATCCACGCCAAGGCATTCTACAGTTGCAACAACAACCCAGCTGAGAGATCAGTGCTCACTGCTACAACTGATGTCGTTGAAAATGGCGTCCACACAGATGACAATGGTCATCATTAATTAATCATTCACCCGCTATATTTATTTATTAATTAACTAATTAATGTCATTGTCAGCAATTTATTCGCGCATCGTCGTTGGCGTGAACTACACTATTATTGATAATTGAAAACGTGTAAAGAGCATTTCATTGTTTAATTATCGTTGCTGCACAATTTTTGAATTATGATTATGTTACTAAGTGCATTTGTCTCTTCAAATTGAGAATTTATTCTCCCCACAAACACAAATTGTACCTAGGAAATTGAATTTGAATAATGAACCTCCATTCGCCAATAAAGTCCTTTGTCATGTTTTTAACTAACTCATTATTCTAAGTTATGATGTGTATATTGGTTTTTTTTACAAAAACATGAGACAAAAATGCATTAATGTACCTGATCGTGAATAGAATAATTCAAAAACTAAATGTTCAAGCAATTACTGTATCCACACAAATTCTAACTTCTCATCGGCCTTAAATATTGATAATCTATTCAACACTCTTATTTAGAATGCGACATACTTGATGCTGAATACACATGGCTTAAGTAAATCTTAAATAGTACTTAATACACCACCACAATTTTGTGCAGGGAACATGCAAGGTGTTCTAATCACTGATAGAAATTAATGTGATCTGAACTGGTTTATTAAAAATTACACAATGAATGACTCGAAATTTAATGTTCAGATGGTGAATGTGTGGAAAATAGTGGCTTGAAAATGAATGTTCAAGTAGTGGAGAATTTAAGAAGTGGAAAATTTTTATTTTGAGAGTATATCTGTTTTTACAAAACACTTAATTCTAACTTAAAAATAACTGCCCAACACAATTTTCAGCACAACATATTTTAGGAATGAAATCTAATCAAACTTAAATTATTTCTCTTAGTTAATCTGAAACTTCCAAATGTATCAACAACTTGACTGATTTACAGTTTAAAAGCAAATAAAAACAGAATTAAACGTAAAAAAATTTATATCATTTTTGTCTGTCAATGTACACAGATATAATAATCAAACGATAGCGTTAACTTTTCATGAAATATTTAAAGTGGCCTCCCGTCTGCTGTTGGAATACATCTATTGCATCACCATCTTCCATATCGAGCTGCAAAATATCAAATTTATTAGAAACATGTCAATAAGTGTGAATAAATATATATGCATATCACATATCCATGAATTTAAACATGTTTTCACATTAGAAACACATAAAAATGTACAAATTTGTTTACAATTAAGTATAAAATCTTACAATACTGTAGCAAAACCTAACTTCATCTTTAATTAACAATTAATAAATCTCAAAATGTGATGAAAACATGAAAAAATGTAATACATATGTTCACATCTTACAAAAATAATCACTTTGAAAATAAGATGCAACAATGATAAGAATGTATTATAAAATAATATGATTACAGAATGTTTTTGTTACCTGTGATGGGGTGTCGGTCTCATTGATTGGCTGTCCATCAAAACGGAACCTCATGGAACCCATTTTTACTCCCTAAAACATGAGCATATATTTGAGTGATATCTAATTAAAATAGACCAACTTTAATTATGAAATGTTGCCTAACCGTTCGTTCACAGTAAGCTGACATGAGTTTCCTAAGTGGTGTATTTTTCTTGATTTTGAAGTGAACTACACTACCATCTTGTCCTGTAACTTTCAAGTTGATGTGCTCATCGGACTGAAAAATTAAATAAAGTTAAACTTGAGAAATCACGTTATTGATAAACCAAAAATCGGCAAACAGTAAATGCCGCCATTTTTGTTTACAAATGTAATGACTATTACAGCAAATTACAGGTCGTCAAATTACAGCAAACGTTTACTAGTCGGTTTTTTAAATTTTTAACAAATCAACTTAAAAACGAACAAACCTTTTTTTCTTCAGCCATTTTCCAAGAAACAATATGATCTCCGAACACGAATTACAGAATTAAAATGCGGACAAAGAAGATATCGGTGTCGGCTTTCGTGGGCAGCAGTAAATGCTTTAGGAAGTGGATAATGTTGATGCGCTTCACTTAACGTAAATTTGAAAGTGTAAAATTAATGATCTTTTGCCTCCATAAGACAATTAACTCGGATAACAGTTGAAAAAACTTTATAAATGAGTATTGATTTTATTTATAAAAAATATTTATTTTTAAATCAAATATAATTAATTAATGATTCAAATTGATAACAATATATTAAATCTAAAGGAATTGAACTATAACACAAGAGTAATTAACAATAATCTATCAATAGCAATATAGCCATGGTCAATAAAAATGTTCCTTAGCGTCAGAAATGTATGACGTCGACGCTGTCCTTGTTTCCGTGTAAAGTTTGCAGGGGAAAGAATCCGAATAGAGCACATCCAGATTTAAAAATCCCCATTAAAACATTAAAATGTTTAATTGTCGTATGTGACGATGATGACGATGACAGTGGTGATAGTGAGGATGAAAATGATGAGACAATGGAAGGCATTTGATGAATCCATTTCATAATTTTTTTACTTTGTTATAAGACCGATATACAAATAATATAATAAATTATAATGACAGTCTTGGAATAGCCTTGTTGTTTGGCGAGTAACATTAAACCAAATCTTGAATCAACTAAACTAACAAAGGTATTAAGCGCTATATCGGAGAGGCAAACATATAGCAGGAAAAATAAAATAAAAGAATGAATAAATGAAATTAATGGATGAATGAATGGATGAATGAATGGATGAATGAATGGATGAATGAATGGATGAATGAATGGATGAATGAATGGATGAATGAACAAACACTCAAACAAATAAACTCATAAATGAATGGATGGATGGATGGATGAGCAAAAGATGATTGATTTTATAACAGCATGATTGGATTAATTTGACTGCATGGCATATCCTATACAGCATGACATATTTATAGATTTTTAATAATGGAAAATCAATCTAGTTGTAAGTTGATGGATGGATGGATAGATGGAAGGATGGAGAAACATAACTAGGTTTTGTCAATGAAACATTGAAAAACATTGAAAAATGAATAAAATATTTGAAATGTTGTAATAAAATTTTGTTATTTTATTTTATTTAAGAACAATTGATAAGACTCATAGACTGCTTTATAAATAATCCCTCATTCTATCCTTTCCAAGTCCATCTATCAATCCATCTAAATTTGAACGTGTGTGTGAGTGTGTTTGTTTATGTGTTTGTGTGCGTTAGTGTCAGCGTCTGTGTATGTGTTTGCGTGTGTTAGCATGTAACATTAAAATCAATTGGCAACCAATGTTCTTATTCCATTCTCATCTAGAAATGCAAAATCGTCTTAAAAGGTTATAAAAACCTCTATATTGATTTTACAACACTGAGCCATTGGATCGTGTTATTGTATGTATGTATGTATGTATGTATGTATGTATGTATGTATGTATGTATGTATGTATGTATGTATGTATGTATGTATGTATGTATGTATGTATGTATGTATGTATGTATGTATGTATGTTGATTAAAAACAAAGTAGCACAGTGGAGTTAATTATATGATATAAATACGCATTTCCTGGAATACAATTGATACAAGGATGCTGAAACAATTCATATGCACACGCTGGGCGTATGAATTGTGTACATACATACAAACATATATATATATATATATATATATATTATATATATATATATATACACATACATACTTGTATATTTTTTAATGATTATTTTATCATATTTTTCACTCATTCATTCATCCATTTATTGATTCACTTTCATTCTTTGAAACGGTTTTTTTCATTTCTTTTTCCTGTCCAGAAACCGTCAATTTTAACGATAATGTTCATTGCTGTATATGAAAATATTTTTTCCCATCTAGCCTGTAATTAAACGCTAGAGCATGAGCATAAAACTAAAGCATATACGTTCGTGCCAAAACATGAACAAGCAAGCATAGAACTAAACAAACAAACAAGCATAGGACTAAACAAACAAAGAACTAAACAAACAAACAAAGAACAAAACAAACAAACAGCAAACAAATATACAGGCAAATACTCTCAGACATAAGCAAAATATTTAATCATAAAAAATATTTTTTTAAAGTAAACAAACCCACATGAGAATAAACAAATATACTCACACATTAATGCAAATATAAACGTAAGCATACACCGCAGTGCACCTACACACACACACACACACACACACACACACACACACGCACACGCACACACACACACACACACATACACAACACACACTCACACATACATACATACACACACATACATACAGTGGCATAAAATAAAATAATATTGGCTACCATTAAAGAAAAACTCGCCCGGCTAGTTGAAAATATTCAACTGCCATGAAGAACTAACATATGGGGACCATCTTAATCTTTCACATATGTTTTTGTCTATGTATGTATTTGAGTGTGTGTATGTTTGTATGTTTGTGTGTGTGTGTTTGTATGTGTGTGTATAAATGAAATGATTAAATTTCACAACTATAAAAACTATTTTGCGGCTAATAAACAAGTTAAACATTTTGTTGTTGAACGTCGTAAATTTCAAATACACGTTAAGTAATGAGGCAAAAACTCATTCGAAAACCTTGTGTGCGTTCTCTCTCACTCTCTCTCTCTCTCTCTCTCTCTCTCTCTCTCTCTCTCTCTCTCTCTATGTGTGTGTGTCTGCTTCTCTTTCCTGTCACCTCCTTCTCTCTCTCCTTTTCTTCTTGGCTTTTTTCTCTCTTTCTTTCGATTTCATCCATTTATTTCATCTTTCTGTCCGTTCCTCTATTTGTCTCTTACTCTAACTGTTGTATAAATGTGTGTGTGTGCGTGTGGGCCTGCGTGTGTGTGCGCGTGTGTGTACAATTTACGTGGGATTGCAGCATAAAAATTTACAATGCAACGGGCAGTTTTTTTAAAGGAAATTCGTGATGTTATGTAACGTGAAAGCTACCGGACAAAATAAATGGATAGATGGATGGATGGACAAATGAATGAATGAATGAATGAATGAACGAGCGAACGAACGTATGAATGAACGAATAGATGAACAATAACAACAACAACATCATGATATTAACATAACTTCGTGATACATAAGGTTGACAAATTAGAAGACGCAATAAATTTTTAATTTAACCAAACAACCAAATGTCACTCAAACATTTTCTGGATATTATTTCTAAATTCTACTCTGATGTCATCAGCCAGAACCTGTGACTGACGCAACGTAACAACAAATACTACTACGATTACTACCACCTCTGCTACTACTACTACTACAACTGCTACTACAGCTGTAGTTACTGCGATTGCTGTCACTACCACTACTAGCAGCTTCACCACTACTACAACTGCTACATTTAACGCCAACGGTAATAAGATTACAACAACTACATCAAAAACAACAGCAAAACTTCAACAACAACAGCAGCAGCAGCAGCAGCAACAACATCATCATAAGCATGGCAAGTCGTACGAACACATCTTGCAATGCAAATATCGAAATTTGCATTTTCAATAAATCTTTGACGTCCATGATGCTATTATAGTTCGCACATCTTAAATACTCGTTCACTTTTAAACATATACATACATACATGTATGTATGTATACATACGCACATGCCTACATACATACATATACACATACATACATACATACACACGTGTATAAATCCATACATACATACATACAACATACACACATTATACATACATACAATATACATACATATGTATGTATGCATGCATGTATGTATCTATGTATCAATATATATAGTTGTGTGTCAAAGAAATGTGCACGCACGCATTTAATACATCCATTTTTCTTTGTTTTTTTCCTTTTTTTAACTTTTCCGCCATTTTAATTATTTTCATAATTATTTTAAATCTTTGTTGGCGTTGTTGTATTTTTTGAAAGTTTTTTTTCCCTTTATTTCTAATTACTATTAAAATTAGTGTTTACGTTGTTAATTAAGCTATCTAATTGAATGATTTAACTAAGTATGTGCGTATATGTATCAACCAATCAATCAAAAATACTTTTTAATTATGAAAATACTGATGTATGTGTGTATGTATGCGTGTGAGTATGCGTATGTGTGTATTTGTGTGTATGCGTGTGTGTGCGTGTGTACTTTTGTAGTATATGTATGTACGTACGTGCGTATTACTTTTCTTTGATCGACTGTTATATTTACTGTAAATGTGATTATAATTATAATAATTGTTATTATAATTATGATTATTATTATTGCCATTGTTATAATTATAATTATTATTATTGCCATTGTTATTGTTATTAATTATTAATATTTTCCATACTTTTTTAGGAACAGAAGATCACCTGCCTGAAATTTCCGTCAGATGAAAATTTTATCACGCGTTACAATTTAATCTCCATCGCCAACATCATCATCGTCATCTACGTCACTAACCAAATTATTATTATTATTATTATTACTATTAATGTTATTATTATTATCACCATCACATATGACGTCATCGGTGACGTCATTACGATCACCATCACCGTCATCGTTCGTCGTCGACTTAAACTAGGAGGAAAAAAGTTTATTCCTCAAAATCATCAGCCTAAAAATCCCTCTATCGTCATCATCTTTATCGTCTTTTTCTTCTTCATCGTCATCATCATCATCATTTTTAATACCAACATCATCATCATCACCACCACCATCATCATCAGCATGGATGTAATAGTGAGAGTTGTAAACTTCATAAAGAGTTGCAAAAGGGTTGGTATATAAATTTTGTACTTTTTTATTTTTTTATATATATAATTAATATGATATAATATTTATCTTAATATAATAATATAATTAATAATAATTATAATAAGCAACCTGTAAATTATTTTGAACGATTTTCAATATAATTTACATAAATTTAAAAGTTGACGGACGTAACAAACAACTAACCAACCAATCAAACAGTTAATAGTTAGTTAATTAATCCATTAACCAACCAACCAATCACAATCAGCCAACCACACACACACACATACATACATACAAACAAACAAACAAACAAACAAACACACAAACCCATCATCAAATATAGTTACCGATATTAATAGATTTTGTGAATGTATGTACAATTTGATAGCAGTGATGATGATGATGTTGATGATGATGAGCGTTATGATGATGATGTTTTTGTTGTTGATAATGATGATTATCTGTAAAGAGTAAATGAACAGACCAATCAAGTGATCACTCGATCGACTAATCAATCAAATTCGTAACTTCGTTCATCAACATTTCATTGTTTATTTATTTACACAAGGCACATTATCAACTAATCAATCAACCAATTAATTGTTCAATCAGCAGAGCAGCCAGCCAAACATAAAACCTAATAACCAACCATAAAATCAATCAACTAACCAACTAACAATCTAACTCAACTACCGGCCAAACACTTATAATCAACCAATCAACCAGCTAACCGACAAATCAATCACACACTCAACCAGCCACCAATCAACCATTCAACCAACCAACCAATCAATCAACCAACCCACCAGCATACCAACAAATCACGCGATTGATTAAACGATTATATTACATCAATACAATGCAAATATGCAGCAGTAGCAATTAACAATGGTTCTATATACAAATGCATACGTACATAAATACATACATACATACATCCACCGTACAGTATTATATACAACATTGATCTGTGGTTTTTCTTTGTATGTCGATTTTATGTTTGTTGTGGGTATATTGATGCATTTTGTGCATGTATGTATGTGTACACGTATGTATGTATGTGCGTGTGTGTGTGTGTGTGTGTGTGTGTGTGTACGAATTTATGGATGTGCACCAAAAATCTAGTCAGGCATAGATGTGTAAGTCCTTGAACAGTATATCAGCGTTGGTCATAAGAATAACAACAATAGATAATAATAATAATAATAATAATGTGTGTGTGTGTGTTTTTGTGTTTGTGTCTGTGCGTGTGTTTGCGTGTGTGTGTGTGTTTGTGTGTAGATTGTTGTAGTATCTGGCCAGCATTTCATTTCAATGCAGAGAAACAAATTTTATAGCGAATTCCTCCGTGTACACACGAATGTTGTAAGCCGGGAGTATTGAATTATATTCTCCACATGTATGTTTGCGCGTGTTTTGTGTTTTTTCTGACTGTCTCTCTGTTTGTCTCTTTCTCTCTCTTTTTTTTCTTTCTCTCTGTTTGTCTCTTTCTCTCTCTTTATCTCTGAGATTTGTTTTGTTTGAGTCTATGTTTGATTGTGTTTCTTGGTGCATGTGTGTTTTGATAAACGAAATAAATGATAAATAATAAAAATTATGGAAAATAATATAAAAATTGAAATGGATATTTTTACATGACTATCTACTAAAGTATGTATTTTATTATCATCTACACCGAACTTATCAACCCTCCGTATGCACACGCAAGCGCAAGTAGGGACACTTTCGAAGTCACGTTCAATACCAGATAGCGACATTTCTCACTTTTGGGTGCCTCATTCGTTTATCTCGTTGTTCAATCTATCTGTCAAACTTATTTTCTGATTTTTTTTCTTTTATTATTTTTTTTCCGCCTGTCTCTCTGTCTCTCTCTCTCTTTTTCTCTATTTTTTTAACTTTCTCTCTCTCTTTCATCTTTTTAAATCAGCTTTTTTTCATTTTCCGGCTCTTAAAAAAATTTTTCAAGCCAAAAACTCAAAATTTTTTTATTAATTAAATATTTTTCTCAGAAGATTTCAAATTTTCCCTTTATAAATATTTCAAACAAATTTTTTTCTTAACCTTTTATAATTAGATTAGTTAGTTGTACGGACGGAGCAAACTGGGCTCGAAAAAAATATTTAGCCTCTGATGTTGGTTTTCGTGGTTAGGGCTTGACTACCGTACGCTCATTTTAATGTAAGTGTCACTGCAACAGTATGCCATGTGATGTGTTGTTGCGTTCGTGACGTAGATACTTCTACACACACACACACACACTCACAGACACAGACACATACACACAAACAACCAAACACACTCCCACACGCAGACTTGTGAATGATTTTACACACTTTTTCTCAGACATATACACTTACTAAAACTCAGCAAAATAGAAACCACCACACACATAAACACACACATACACACGCATGCAACGCATATACAAACAAACATACAAAAGAGGATATTCACCTGTACAACCACCTCCTCCTAATTTACGTACGTATAAACCAAAAATCGCAATAAAAAATATTTTAACGCATTCGTTCATTCAATCGAATAAAAAAAAATTAGTTAATGTATCTATGTATGTTTGTATGTATGTATGTATGCACATACAAACAAAACAAGAAAACTAACACAAACAAACACAAACAAACAAAAGCACTTGGTGCAAAGGTATTTGTATTAATATTGTAATGAATGACGAGAAGAAGAAACTGCGTATTAAGATGCTATAAATATGCATGCAATTTGCGTTCACGCACCAACAATCATACGTACGTACATACATACGTACACACATACACACACACATACATACATTCACACATACATACATATACACCCAATACAAATGTGAATTCAAACAATTACTTATATCTGTAAGTGCACAAATACCCTAATATATATTGATCGTATTTGTGTACAGAAAATATACACACACATACGTGCGCGCACACACAAACATAAAATATGTACGCAAACACACTCACATAAGTGTATGCAAACCAAATTAGTTTACCAATGTTTGTTTGTATCTAGAAAAATTTGTTTGTATGCCCGGTATTTATGTTTGTATGTCCGATATGTTTGTTTGTTTGCATGTATGTATGTATGCATGTATGTATGTCAATATGTATGTATGTATGTCTGTGTGTCTACACACCCACACGTCACGACGCAGTAGTTGATGTCTAGACATCAGCTGATCATAAAACATCAGCCTTGTTATCAAGATATACAACGTATGTATGTACGTATGTACTCATATGTGTGTTTGTATGTACGTATGTGTGTGTGTGTACGTGTATATATTTGTGTGTACAAAACTTTCGGATAAGATAAACAAATCTTCTTTATACAATATTATAGTCAAAAAAGTATTGATCTTTATATCAAATACCCTTGATACACGTTTAGATAACTCATTCCATATATATAATACACTTATATGTAATATACAAATTTTCGATACAATATACAAGATGTATGCAAATATGTGTTGGTTTGTATATGTGTTTGTTCATTTTTGTGTGTGTTTGAGTGTGTTTGTTTGTGTGTATGTATGTCTGTGTGTTTTTATATTTGAATGTAACTCACACACACACACACACACAACAAACACACACACAGCTATCTCTCGAACAACACGGCACAACAACATCCGCAGCAACAACAACAGCCAACAACAACGACACAGTTTTTTCGGATGATATTGAATTACTAACGTATATGACACCGTACAACAAATTGTATGGCGATGTAGACAAACAACAACAACAACAACAACATCATCATCTGGAATGGGGTAATAATCAGCAACAATCACAACATCATCATCGTCGTCGTCTTCGTCAACAACAACAACAACAACAACAACAACTGCAACAGCAAAATTTATTTCCTGGAGACATTGAATGTGGCGATAAAAAAGCATTCGGACGTTTAAAAAGAAGCAGTATTAAGCTGGTAAAAGACAATAATATCAATAATAACAACAACAATAACAACAACATTAATAATAACAATAAAAAAAGCAATTATGATAATGGCGATGGTGACGATGACGACGACGATGATGAGGAAAAATATTCACTTCGTACAGTTGTCAAACTCCAAACTCATTCGTCACTGCCTCATAACAACAACAATAATAATAATACCAATGGAAATAATAAAGATAAAAACGATGATGACGTTGAAGATGACGTCACGGTTGATGACGACGACGATGATGATGACGACGATGGAAAGAAGGCTCAACTCGGTCGTAACGATAAGAGTGGTTTATGCAATTATTACAAAGATAATGACGATGACGTCACTAGAGATTACTACAACTACTGCAACAACTACAACTACGGCAACAACTACAACTACTGCAACAACTACAACTACTGCAACAACTATTGCAACTACTGCAGCTACTACAACTACTACTACAACCGCTATTGCTGCAAGCCGTCACTATCGCAGGCTGTAGTAGCTTCAACGTCGTCATCGTCATCATATACAACAATCGTCCGACAACCATTATGTGTATTGCCTGTTACATCGTCATCATCGTCATCATCGTTTGCATCCTCAATAATATCATCATCGCCATCATCATCATTATCTTCATCAGCAGCATTATCATTATCATCATCATGGCCACCATCAATGTTGTTGTTGTTGTTGTTGTCATCGTCACCATCACCATCTTTATCATCAGTAGCATTTAAGCCGAAAGCAATTCTACAGCCAGATCACCAACATTGTCGTAAAAAACTTCCAAAAAAGCACTTGAAGTCGTCTGTTGTTATACCAGCAACATCATTGTTCTCACAGCCGTTGAGATTATCATTACAATCAAAATCACTTTCACCAACAACATCATCATCAGCATCGTTGTCGTTGTTGTTGACGTCATCATCATCACCACCAACAACAACAATGCCAACATTATTAATGACGACAACATCTTTACTGCCAGAAACATCGACAACATCACAAACATCAACAACATTTACACAAGCAACTGAAAACAACAACAACATCAACAGCAACAACAACATCCCCAACAAGTGCTCCGAACAACACGTCGATAAACCCATACTTATATGGAACGCTAATAAAAAAATAAATTGGTCTGCCATAACTCCAAAGAATATTAAATCTACATCGAAGTCAGCGAATTTATGTACGAAAAGCAATAACGTCGTTAATGATTTTGGCGAGGACGACGACAACGACGAAGTTTGTTGTGGTGGTCATGGTGAAGATGATGATGATGACGTCGACGATGACACACACGCTGTAGTCGGGCTGATACCGTCACGTGATCAATGTTGCGCGAGCGATCGTTGGGGAAAGTTGATCGTGTGTAAACGCAGTAACAACAACAACAACTTCAACAACAACAACAACAACATAATCATCAACAACAACAACAATAACAACAGCAACAACATAAATATTAAATATAAAGCAAAAGATAATCATAAACGTATGTTGATTTCAAAGAAGACAAAACCCAACTTAAACTGTTCCAACGGCAACGTCATCATCCACAACAACATTAACAACAAATTTAATGACATCAGCAACAGCAGCGTCATCAATTACAACAACAACAACGACAACAACATCAACACACTTGAGAATTCTTTCAAAGTTAATCCAGACGAGTTGAAAGCATTACAGAGAACAGAAATTAATTGCTCCTTTGACAACTACAAAAACGACATCTGCAACATCAACAAAAATTTTATGAATATCAACAACAACAACAACATCAACAAAAACATTGATTCCAACAACATTAACAACAACAACAACAACAACAACAAAGTAACTTATACCAAAAATACGCCGAAAAATTTGTTTCTTTTAAAAACAAACAACAATAACATCAATAAAAAAGATTGCTCCTACAATAACAAAAACATCAATAATAACAACAACAAAAACATCAGCGCAATTAAAAATCCTGACAATCAAAGCATCGAATTCCACAAGAAAATATTTTCAATGAACAAAACCCCGCCTTTGATTGACAGCTCATTCAGAAACAAAAACACGCCCACGACACCAGACTTATCAATGTCAAGGTCAAACAATTCAGGATCAAACAATTCAAGGTCAAATAGCTTAAAGCTCAAAAAGGTCACCAATAAAGAACCTTTTGTATATTTTTTTCATCCTCGTTCTAAATCAGAAGAGCAAAGAAGGGCTAAGAATAACATCGCTAACGTTGGTAATAACAATAATAATAATGATAATAACAATAATAATAGTAGTTGGAATAGTAAAAATATTAAAAAACAAGATTCTGCTATTAATAATACATTTGACAATAATAATAGAAATAATAAAAACAACAACAGCAGCAACAAGAAGGACAACAACAATAATACTAATAAATCAACGATCGGTTGCATGCCAAGATTTAAAAGCTTAAGTTTGAACAGAAAAAACAAAATCAACGTAGAAGGTTACAACAACAACAACAACAACATCCGACAACAACAAACATCAACTACAACAACAACAACGACAGCATTCAACTCCAGCAAACAGTCCAGATCCTACACGCCACCAAAGCCGTGGAACCTTACGCTACGAAACTACAGCAAATCGCCATCACCATTACGACTGAGACGAAAATTCGATGACGTCATTATCACCAGCAACAAACCGGAAATGGCGGCCCAAGATGGTATATCTATGCACTTATCAAGATTAAGAATCTACTCTAGACGATCTCTGCTGAGCGATAATGGAGTAAGCAGAAGTCTGGCGGGGGTCAATTTAGCCGGAGATGATGAAGTCAAGTCGATTGAGAATGATATGGATAAGCATATAGAAAATATGAGGTCTGGCTATTACTACAGACGTGTTATTCTTGATGGTAGCAGTGCTGAAAGCAACAAGCGCATATCAAATGTCAGTGAAAATGATAAAATTAACCAGGTTAAATCGCATACAAGCGCGCACCAAACTAATTTCAACAGTTTTTGTAATAGCAACAAGTCCAATGGCATCAATAACATCAACAACATTAACAACATCAACAACAGCAACAACATCAACAGCAGCAGAAGCAGCATCTACGTCAGGCCACCTTTAAAAATGAATGATAGCAGGTCATCCGTCTTGAAAGAAAAAATTAAACAACTGAAAACAACAACAACAACGAAAACAACAACAACAAAATCCACAACAACAACAAAAATAATGAATGCAACACGAGTCAAAACAGCAACGCTTTCATATAATCATCAACAGCACGCACAGCAACAACAACCGC